AGAATCACGTATAGAACCGCCTGATTATAACCTCCTATAAGAGCCCGAAAGAAAGTGGGCCTCGATCGTAGATGTGAAGGTTCAATAGACATTAAATTCCAAAAGGCCTATAGAAATAATTTTAAACAAGCAAAATACAGTCTCGTTCTCTTTATGCATTTGAAAATATCTGACTAAACAATCGACCATCACGATCATGATTAGTTCATGCATAAAGAATATTCTTATTGCTTATGAAAGAACTGGTCTAAGGCGGCAACACGCGGTCAACGAAAAGTGGCTGCGCTTTCTTGTCTTTGCTGTTTGCAAGATGTGGGAATCTAGTTGAGTTCACCGAAATACCACGGTCATCAGAATATTTTCATGAGGAAACTAAAGGGAAACAGGTCAATCAAAAAGTTTAAAGGCATATTTGGTCGCTCCTGTCCGTAAATATCCGAATATCTCTGTACGCTTCCTTAAACGTATTGAGATTTTATCTTACAAAAACGTTTCCGTAACAACGGAGATACATCGCTAACGTTTTGCCATCTGCGGCATGGGAATTAATTAGATTATGTCATGAAGTTGAGAAAAGTCGTATTGAGTTTTTGTATTCTGAAAAACCTATGACGGCTCTGATGGTCTCTACCGAATACATCGGATACGAGAATGTGCCATGTGCTCATTGTGGGTGGCTGTTCGCTAGCTTGGCTGAAATTGTGTCTAGTAACTCAGAACAGCACACGTTTATACTCAGGAAATCATTGAATTAAACATACATTCACTTTAGAGCAAAAACTGCGAATGCAGTGTTTGCTCGTTTTCTAAGGCAATGCCAACTGACATTAATTGATATTGGCATTCGTTGATGAACGTTCACCGAGCACTTACGGAACTCACTGGTCCCGCTCTGCCTTACTGCTCGAGAAATAAGACCAAAGACAGAGCGGGACAAGTGAGTTTCGTTCTTGGTCGGTGAACTTTCATCAACGAATGCCAATACCTCCCGACCCAAACCGGCAAGACAACAAGCTCGTGGCCCAATGGTAAGAGTGTTAGACTCTAATCGAAAAAAGTCGCCAGTTCGAGTCTCAGGTGGTGCATCATTTGTAGTTGAGTATGGCTGGCTAACGACGGCTAGTAAGCCATAAATGACAATTTTATTCTCCCTTGTCTTTTCTGGCAATACCAACTATATCAATCACAGTACAAGGTGGTGAAATGCACTCTGGCACATTGATCATTCGATAGTGGGTTTGCTTCTTTTGTCCTCTTATGGATTTGAAGTCACCTGTGGTACATTCAGAAGTTTAAACTTCTATCTTTTGGTTAGACGTAGCTATCTTATGGTAGATAATGCTTTTCTAGCATTTAAGTCCCCATACGGATGAACTGGGTGATTGTATTCTTTCGCATTCAACCGAACACATTCGGGAGCTTTAAATTGAACAAACTGAAAGCCAACTTTTAAAGCTGAAAGTCAACTTTCTGGGAGACGAATTACGTAAGCCTTATACTCCAGGTGCACTGGTTGCTAATTCGTTGTTGGTAGTTAATTTTGTGCCACCTAAACAGGCCGCAGCATAGATGTGCTGGATCAACACGTGGACCAGATCAGAGCACGTCAGATCATCTTCGCCCTGCACTCCCATAAGAAATGCCGAACATCAAGGGGAGGGGGAAGGCGTTAGTGACGCGCGTATGTGCAGGCTCAGGCCGCAGCCACCCGTAGCCCTATGAAAATCCCACTCCATGGGATCTGGGTTAGACGGTACGGCTCCAGCCGCGCCTCTCACCTGTGCCCACTCCCCCCCTCTGGTCTTCTTGACTCTTTCCTGACATCAGGCACAGGCAGGAAAGGGAAAAGTGAATGCGTTAGGTCTAACGCAAGTCTACTATCACTTAAAACTAAACCATGCGTAAGTCATCTGTGGAGCACACAGTGGACATTGTCGAAATCATAGGTTAAACTGTCCGTACTTAACTGTGTTCACTGATCGTGAGGCAAGTAACCAGCAGTCACAGACTGAAAGTGTAAACTTGGACAATCTCCTAAATGAAGAGAATTGACGAAACAAGCAATCAGTTGAAAAAAGCTCAAGTTGACATAAATGAATGGATGTAACTATTTCACCGAGGGCAAAAGAACATGAAATAACTCTAGTGCTGTCAGCAGTTACAAAGAACCCACGGACTATTAGTAAAACAGAATATATTATCTAGGCTATGACATGCGAAATAAGTGCATCCGGATATGCAGTACGTAAGCTATGAAGTCAAAGTCGCAACGCGACAAACCATGGATTAGAGACAAACAGGTGCCCACTAACAAGCCCTTACTTTCAAAGAAAAATATACGCAAAAAGCTTTAAGTTAAACATTCAGAAGCGTCAGTTTATAGGTGAAAAATGCACGAGCAGTAGGAGAGAGGTCGAGCGCTTCAGTTCCTTTTCACTACAAGTCAAATTTGGCCGAGTGAGCTCAAATTATCTAACGTGCTTTGCGGCTAATGAAACGTTGCAAACACTTTAAAAATATAAGTAACGTTCAAGCTAATGAAAAGTAAACAAATGCCCATGATTTGAACCGTTTTGTCTAAGTGCTGAGTAAACGTATTGATTTTTCAATTACCCAGTCTGTCTTTCTTAGATATTCTTTAAGAGATTGTTCGGAAATGAACGTTGCTGCCAAAAAACATAGAAATTTCCAGTTTAATGACAAACATAATTAAATCCACGTATAAAACTATTTGAAGGAAACACTGGGACCTAGAGCTAAGCCGATTTTCTCCCTGTTGCATTATGACTTAACAGAAAATAGTCTGTCAACAGTAACTTATGTAGGCCTACTCATTAATCCCTACTCCCTGCATATTTTCTTACGAAAAAGGTGGTTCTAGGGTTGTATGGGTGGGAAATTAGGACACACAGTGGAATATACTTTAAAAAATGCTAAATGCCTTTTTATTTTAATGTATTTAGAAGTGCTTTTGATTTATATCTGTAGATTTTCCCAATCTGTGTTATTGCTTAACTTATTGCGGAAAAACCCGATTATCAAATTGCAGGTTTCTTGAATGTTCCGAAAAATTGAAATGGTGGTTAGGTCATCTACTTCAACTTATCTGAGGTCCAACTTACCGTTCTCGAGTTAGATCAGTATAGTCCACGGCGCGAAGCGCCGTGCACACCTTCAATTTACAGGCGGAACAACGTACTCCCAGCGGCCGAAGGAAGCAACTTCGACTACACTTTTTTCCCTTTACACTTACGTCTAAAAGTTTCCTTCTCTGCCTATCCTATTTTCCCACCCCCAAAACTCTATAACCACCGTTTTTGCAGGACAAAATGGTGGGACTATGGGTATATGAGTGGGCCTACATAAGCTACTTTTGTCAAAAGTCTAAAAGTTTGCTAAACATTTTCAATAGTACGCCGATTAGGGTTTCGTTTAAAGTATTAAGTACACACATCTTCTGCAGTTTCCATAAGTGATATCGAATTTTAGTAGTGGTCACAGGATAGTCAGGATAAAGATTTTTTCGTTTTACACCTTCATTTCCTGCACGTGCGTCACCTTCTGACGCAACCATTGGGAGTCCAAAAAATTCCCTCAGCGTTCCCCCAAAGCCTTATCTCACCGGTGATATAGTCGGGTTACATCCATTGGCCCTTCTTTATACACTTTTAAAAGTTTTGCCACATCTTGCCTGATGCAAGGCTTTTTGAGTAAAACGCATTTTGAGTCTTAGGGGCATGTCAGTGGCCACGTGTACTATGCCATATTTCTCAAAGATGCACTTAACCCTCCCAGTAGCTTTCGCCGTATGCGTTAGCTTGACATTTTGAACTTTTTTCCTTCCTCCATCGGGGGAGATTTTCACCTACCACATTGCATCACCTTCACTTATCCACTAATTTAATATATCTCAGGAGGCTTTTCGCATTTGCGTGCTTCCTAGCATGAGTCAGTAATTTAACCTTCGCACGCACACTCTACAGTAGGCGGTAGGAAGCGTAATTCCGGCAGAATTTGCACAGAATCAGTGCAAAGTAGGCAGTAAACAGGAAAGGTGACGGTTCAAACCACCTATCTGCCAGGTTTAAGACTTTTAACTGCCCTTGCAGTACCGCTTGAGGTTATCCTGCCGTCGAGTTTTTCCAAAAACGTTCCGTTGATAAACAAATTGTCGAGACATAACAGTTGGCAGTCTGGATCTAATGGAAGGAAAGCTATGGAATCCTCTCAGATCTGGTGAAAATGCTTGCATCCAGTAGTCTCAACAGGTGGGTCGAATTCACCCAGAGTGGTGTGCGTATGAAGGCGCGGGTGATTAAACGGTTAAATAATGAAGCAGGCCGAACTGACTTGACCCATCCAAAGACATAAGGACAAATCTGGCCGGTGATACAGATTTTAATAGGTCCTCGGCTTTATCTTCATTCACGCCTGTTATGGGCAGTGTGAGACCAAAGTTTAATTCACTTTACGGACAGTAATTGTTGTAAGACAACACTAAACTGAAAAGGTAAATATCAGTTTGGCATTATTTGCTCGGCAAAAGCTATTTGGCGATGTCAGGTTCACTATTATAAGTAGGAAAAAGAGTAGGGTGAGGATAGAAAAATTGTAATTCATTAAGCTCGCCGCTTGTATTTAAAATTAGGTTCGAGGGTTTGCCATTGAGTGTGCGGTGACGAGGGATGTGTGCACACACTCGATCTGTCATTGGCAAGTGTTTTTGGAAACCTCCCATGCATCGTCAAATTTTTTCGATATCTTTACATCCAGGAACTATTTTTTTTGACCATTTAACCTCTGCCTCCTCGTCCTTGTTCGCTCTCTACTTCCACCACTTTTCATGACTCAACTAAAGCTTTAGATGTACTAGGAATTCCAGTACTCCCAAAACCATTTAATGGCTCTTATTACTAACCCAACACCAACAATTCCATTTAGTTTTATCTCAGGTCGGCAAAAATGGTTCCCACTATCGACTCTGGTTTTACACGGCAAATATGCAAGGGGCAGGAACAACCGCGGATGTCTTTGTTCAATTGGCTGATAAGAATAAAACAGCCGGTGAACACTGGCTTCGCGTTGATCGGCGTGGTAGACCATCCACCAGCAACATGGAGAAGTCATCATACACCTTCTCCGAGGGTTCCGTTGTGGAGGCTGAGGTGAACTGTAGTCAGCCGTTGAATCAGCTTTCAAGGCTCCGTGTAGGACACAACAATCGGGGTCAGTCTCCTGATTGGTTTCTTGAAAAGGTTAGTATATACTTCTATCTAGACAACTTAGTCTATTTTTTGCTTGGAAAAAAAGTGACTCAATGTCTGCATTGAATATCACCTGATGATTATACCAATGCGACCAGTAAAAAATCAGGAGAACGAGTAAAGAGAGCGGAGAACCTCCTCCAGCGAATGGAAGTAGTGAGTTCAGAGACATAGAGATACACAGAAAATACCTCTCCATTCTAACCATAAAACACAGATTTAAGCACCCCTTTTCATTAATTGTGCGGTCAACTCGGTTTCATTGCAATATTGGCAAAATCTAAAGCTTCAGATAAAGCGGCAAAACTTGAAATTCAGTAGCTTATCAGAACATTCTTCGAAATAATTACGCCTCTCATAAAAAGATATAGGAGGTAAGCATATGGTCTTCACTAAAACAAATTTTTATTAAATTCTTACTTACTAGAATCCAATGACTCACGAATATTTTAGTTTTTAGCTTCTGACTTACCGCCCACTTACCAGAGAATATGAGATTGAATCTCAGGTTATTCATAGTTACGGCTGAGTACTGTTGCTTTTTTGACAATCAGTAAACCGAAAATCGCCAATATATTCTCCTTGGTCTCTGTCCAAATTCCTTTCAAGTTGCTTCAAGCACAAGAAAATGCGGTTTTATTTTGCCCTACTGAAAATTTTACTTACCTCATTGCTGAACTTTCACCCGACTGCTAACGGAACGCATCTGTCTCGCTCTGCCTGGAGTCTCGCCATAGGCCCTGACAGTCGTATCAGATGGTAATAGTATAAGTAGATAGTATTTCCGGCAAAGACAACGCAGTCTCCCTAGTCTTGGCCGGCAATACCACCTGCCTATACGTTACATACCTATTCATTTTAATCAATGGTCTTACCAGCATTTTGAACTCCGCAAAACACAGATAATTGCGATGAAAAGACGCAAAGTGTACGATATTTTACATACATAACAGCCTTATAATTGGTTAACAATGTTGCCACAAAGCATTTTGAACCCACATCTACTTTTTCAGGCATATATGCATTTGGAAAGAATTCCCTCTTTGCTGTAGTGCATAGCGATAGGGCAAAAGCTGCAAGTCGTACTACTATATACCTCAGTACGTTTCAATTGAATATCCTCTAATGTCTGCACAGAAATGAGGGATGCCAGAAAGTGATGTTGCAATAATTTACAGTCAAGGGGGTTTAGTTAGGCTTCAGGCCATCGGATTTCACGTGATCAGATAACTTGAAATTGAAGTACAGCACTCTGGTCTATTCTGTTGATTAGAAAGACAACTATTCTGGTTGGATATTTTGACCATCTGACCAATGACCCATTTCTGACATTAAATGTAATATGGTCTTCTAAAAGCCTGAATGATGCCTCCTATGACGACTAGGTGTTCTCGATCTTAAAAATAAACCCAAAATATTAGCGTTTGAAACTAGGTAGACTAGCAGCATAAAGTAAACAATATCTTAATTTTCTTAAACGCCAGTTTAAACCTTCTAATGATTTAAACTTTTTAGGTAATGGTGAAAGACCTTGATCGAAATCAAACCTTTACATTTCAATGCAACCAATGGATCTCACAAAATCGTGGGGATGGTCTCCTAGTTCGGGATCTTTACATCGAAAAGTCGAATAAGTTGACCCCAGAGAAAGCTAGAAAAAGTAAGTGAGAATTATTTCGTATACGTTTGGTGATTTCAGGAATGTAATTTATGAGCTGTGTTATAAGTTGTCGCATTAAGGGCAGTGAGAAATAAAACGGAAATAAAGATATTGACATATCTCAGGAGAACAAACGGATGCATTTCCATAGAGAGCATAGGGTGCAAATTGTGGTATCGGATAAACTGTTTCCGTTTTTTTTGAAAACACCGCTGTCATACACAGAAGTGCCTGTGTTGAAACGACGAATAATTTTATCTTCCAACATGGCGGCCAATAATGAGTTCCGTTAAAATGCTGTCCTCAAAACCATCAAAGCCTGTTGCGTTCAAGTAAACCACACTTAAGCATTGTGTTTAACTCACAAAGACCTAAGCACGGAAGCACAATCTTGTGAGCGTACGTTTTTATTTAATTGTCCTCAGGCCTGTAAAGTAGAAGGCCTAAGTTAGGTTCAAGTTATGTAGGCTAAAACAGCCAGCGGATAATGGCTATAGCAGCGAGGGTTCAGAGCGTTCGTACAGGTCGGAACAATTGTGGTGCAGTTACGTAAGGGCATTCGGAAGTGGGAGAGTGCAGCGGCCTGCCAGTGCGCTAGGCTTCAGTTTTGTTGCTGTAATGTTCTTTGGCAAAATGCAAAAATCGAGCGTGCTAGGATAATCTGGGGCCGGGAAAGCTTGAATTCTCTACGAATACACGTTTGAGTTAGCTAACCGTATGACCACGGCTACTGCCGTTGCACATATTAGCTTGCACAGAAATTTCGAGTTTCTTACCGACACTCGAAACATTTGATTGAAGTTTACCCAATGGCGGCTGTCAGCCAAGTGAGTCACATTGCATTAGACATGGACATTAAATATCCTGGTTTAGCCAGACGGAATGGTTCTCTCGAACATGCGTGAAAAAACGTTTGTTCGATCATTATAAACTTGCTCACAGGAGCAAGTGAGGGCCCAGCTACACACTAAATAAATTAAACACAGCCTGCTCCTACCTTAAAGGTGCCAAAGGCCGAGTGATTAAGAAATTTAGCTTTATCTTTACAGCTTGCCGCGTGCGCGCGATAGCAGCGTTTAAGGGACGTTGCTGACCACATTCTCTAGAAGTAGCAATGAAAAATAGTTCCTTCCGCGACAGCACCATCCTGTCTAGTTAAATCAAGGCATGTCTCAACGCCCTAAACTCTCGCCCCCATGCCTACTGTTCACTGGTTGTTTAAACTTTTGCTGCTCCACTCTAACTAACTTATATTAGTGCACAGGCCTAAGGGAGATTAATCGAAAACGCACGTTCGCCAAACTGGACTTCTTTAATGTTTACACAGGTATCATTGAAAAACTTTAAAAGACATAATTAGGATAATCCTTCTGGTATGATCTCTGGAACATTTTCAGTACATTCATCGAGCTGACTGCGCACAAAGCCGTTTTCATTTATTATACGCAACCCAGTTAATTTCTAAATTGGAGTACCTGCATAACATGCCGACTGGAAGCTGACTGTAATTCTGACACAGATATTCTCAAGGAGAACAGATAGGGTAAATGGCCTTATTGTCCATGTATGTGGAATGTTTGGTAGAATTTTCCTCGCCATCTCATTTGCCCCAACAAATCTTATAAAATGCAAGAAAGTATATCGGCTGTTGGACATAGTAGGCAGGTTGGAATATTAAAACCCACTAGGTTGCAACTATAAAACATTTCCGGATGCGCATATTTCCACCGTTTATGATTCTTAGCGCTTAAGTGTATGAAATAGAGTTTTATTTTATATGTAAGCATGTTATCATTATTTAGGTGGCGTCCGACGAACTGATAATACTTAATCAGCATATTGCTATTTGCTCAACTACTAGGCAATATTTTAGTTTCTTAGTCAGAAGAACCTGTGTAGAGTTCATGTACCGATTACTTGCCATCGTCCAGGCCTAAGATTATGTTATTTTTGTCGGTTTGAGAACTACCACTAAGTTTAAAAGTACGGAAACCGTATTTTCGTTATTATTATGTCGTGTTTCCTCGCTCCTCCCCTTCAGTTTACTATGCAATGCATTTCAAGTGGACTGATCTCGGAGCACGATATGAAAGAATTGTTTTTTCTCCAGAACACGGAAGATCAACAGAAAAGGAAAAATCTTGATCCTCATAACTTCAGTCACCTAAGAGGGAATAGACGCCTACAGTTAATGATAGCTGACCTCAAATAATTGTGAAATTTAAGAGCATGAAAATTTGAGGGCGATTAATGAAATATCTTTCGAAATTTATCTCCCCTAGGCCACGATTTCGAGGTGGAATTAGTGACACGAAGAGGATCCACTATGGGTACGCCAAAAAATCTACTTCTAAAGCTCTACGGTCCACCACCACGCTATGATGAAATTAGGATGAAAGACGTCAACGTTTCCCCGCTGATTCGAATTGCTGGTAAAAGCATCAAGTTTGAAGAAACCAACTGGTTCAAATTCAAAATTCCCAATCACGAAAAACTGATACCATGTCGCAAACTGGGTATTTGTCAGAGTGCTGGAGAGGTGCATAAAGACTGGATTTTAGAAAAAGTATGTTTACGTTCTTTTGATTTATCTGTTTTTTTATCTGTTTATCATCATATGATAAATATGTGACATATCTACACAGCTCCCTGCATTTTGGACTAACGTTTCTAGATTTCTATTATGAGCCATTACTATGAATGTATTTAATACAATTACGGCCAAGACGTTAACTTTTGTAAGAGGGAACAAGAAATTTTATAGCCTTGAGACGATGAACAGAGTCAACAAAGGTCTTTTTAAATGCTGTGAAGTATATGCTCTTTTTGCCCATCTATTAAGAAGTGTGCAATGGATGCGAAAAGCGATTGATACAAGTCAGCATACGGAATGAGAAGGAAGCCGTTAAGCTCATTTAGATGGTGATGAGGTTGGTGGTTTCAAAAACAAATTTTAATTAGAGTTTAACTGTTGAAATCTTTTTTGATTTTAGCATTTTAGATACCAAATTTGTCAATAACTGGAGTTTTATTAACCCCAGCGAAAGCGTTTGCTCTGAAAAAACCGACGAGTTTCAAGAAATGAGGGTGGCTGCAATTAAAAATGTTTGATTGATAAGAACGGCATTTTAATAACGCAAACCATCTTCATGCAAATGAGGGTTTTCAATCCTAAACCAAATTTCTCCTTGAGCTAAGCCTTTAGGCTAACTTGAAGAAAACAAATATTGGACATATTAAGCTGCAACCAATAAATCCAATCAAACATTGTACAGTCTGCGTGAAACTGCACATTAAATTACATGCTTTTTTTGGCCTTTAGACTGAGAGGTGTTAGAGTATGCGGAAAGTATAATCTTTACAATTTCAGTAGCCTCACGTTTATGCAAGCAGAGAATTTGGGACGAAAAATTCAGACAAGATCAAGTTTGGAGGAATGAATCCTAAGTCTGATTCTCAATTAGGATAAAGCTCACTAATGTGGTATGCTTCTACTAAAGAACTGTGGTGGTTTCGACCTGAAATGAATCGGGAACATATAATAAGTCAAGTATTTAAAGTTTGAGAGCAATATTTTACATAATGTGGTCTTAGTATCCGGCAGAGACAGGCAACATAGTATAACTATTTCGGGCTCGCAAAAGCATAAACCCAGGATGGGCACATACTGAGAGGTAGATCGGTGTACAAGCAAATACTATGTTGTGGTCTCAGCATAGGCGTCATTTTTGAAGTTCAAAAATTTGTAGGCGCACGTAGGCGATCTCAACAAAATGCACTAGCTTTTCCCTAATATCCTTGTTTACTCATGTCTGTTGATGGCCTGTATAATACGGAAACTTAGTGCAATGGTTTAAACTCTCATGCAAGTCTTGGTATCCTAGAGTTGCACAGAGTTCAGTTTTATTTCACATGGCTCGCGCTTGGCACATGCACTCACTGGGTAATAAATTTCCTTTTTGCACACGTGACTTTAAATAAATTGACGAACAGGCGGAAGTCTAGCAGCACTCAATCGCCCTTAAATATTGTTCCATAAAAGCCGTCGTAATAACGACGTGATCGCACATACAGGACTTGGAAAACTAGGTTTTGCCAGTTTCAAGGATATAGTCTCACGTAATATTGATGAACATTCACTCGACAGGTTCTGCAGTGAGCTTCACAGCATAATGGGCGCAGAGACACTGACTTAGAGGTGGATATTTTTAATCAGAAAGTAAGCTTACGCTGGATCTATCTCAATTTCTCCTCCTTGACGCAGTTGGCGCCGCTGTCAAGGCAGAGTCACGAAGACTGGAAGCGGGATGGGACGCCAGTGGCTGGTGTGGCGCAAG